GCAAATACTGAAATAATCTGACGTAGAGCAGCAGCCTCAATGTAGGGTGAGTGCAGTAAAGGTGGGGTAGGCCCTCTTCGCTGTTTGGATCTGAGAACAAACTGAGGTGTGACTGTAGCACATTTCATTGGCGACATCGGCTTCTGTCAGCGTACTTAATAACTACGAGTAGCCGAAGCGGGGAAAGCGGATTTATACCGGCTACACGCAGTTAAATGTGATAAACCATTGTTTGCTGTTTGAATCTGAGATGTGGGATCAAAGTTATAATCAGCATGAAACGGGTGCTCTCAGCTCTTACGAATACTGATTGAATCTGTTGTAGAGAAGAAGCCTTTCTGGTACGTCCACGCAGTTGTTGACATGTGGACATTATTTGCTGTTTGAAACCGAGATGTGAGAGAAGTGTAAATCTCAGTTAGATGTGAGTTTTCATCAGCTAGTCCGAACACTGATAGAATCTGACAGAGAAAGGTGGCTTTGTGGTGCGGTCAGCGCAGTTATTATTGTGTACTAATAGTTTGCTGTTTGGATCTGATTTTTGCTGGAGTATGCAGTCTCAGTCAATAACAGCTACCACAGGTATATACAGTCTAATCTCAACTCACATCATCAGTGTATCTTTAAACGATAATTACCGACTTTTGCACACGTGTCATTACTCAGTAAGTATCGTTCAATAGTCACCCACGTCTCAGGAATCTGACGAGTACTGAGACACTATTCAGATGATTCGAAACAAAATACCGTCTTCACCTCACTTACCTTCGGCATGGCCGAAAACTGAATGTAACTGCCTCAGCCAAACTCAGCGGTGCTCAAGAGCAATCAGTTATCTGCACGAATCAGTTACGTTGAATGAGCTCTAGCTCAGTTGTCATTTTCTCTCGGGACACGATTTCCTTTTTTGATTTCTAAAGTAAATTATTCTTAAGGCTCTTTTTGCTTCTTAAAAACTTTTGCAATCCACTTCTTATTATTCCTTTCATCTCCCCATGTTTTAATTCCATATTGCATGTATGCATTAAAATTTGCATGGTACAACTTCATCATGGTCGTCCTATCCATGCAGGATTTGCAGCATTTGACAGGTATTTTTTTTTTCTTTCAGCATGTCCGACCAAGAATGCGATCCGTTTGCTGAAATAGATAGGGCTAACCAAGAACATGCTAGGCCTAAGAAAGTAGAATTTTTAACGAAAGGGAAGGCATACAAAATTTCAGTCAAAAACGATACGATTTTAAAGATAATAAGACGGGAGCTTATCCCCTTAATACCCTGGTTACATATGAAGAATCTGGATTTAAATTTATTACAATTCTGCCAAAAATATATAATGACAAACCAGAGCGTTGGGTCAACGCAATGAATGCTTTAATTGCTAAAAATATGAACCCCAAAATGGTGTAATACGGAAAATGTGGCCTCGCAAATGAAGTGGGGATCCTACGACACACACAAGGTAAAATATTTTTTGTTTCACAATGAAATTTGAATTGAATTAACAGTGTTTAATTTTACTTTTATATTGTAGTATTGGGGTT